GCACTCTACCCAGGGTGACAGCTTGAGGCTCTGTCTCCAAAAAAATAAATAAATAAAAAAGAAATAAAATGAAGAAAATAGCACCTGGCTCAGAGTATTGTTTTGAGGATTAAATAGAACAATTTGTGCACAATGCTCAGAATGGGGTGCACCATGTCATTTTATTAGTAGTAATAGTTATTGTAGCTTTGTTCAGAGTGGGTAGACATATGGGTTGGGGCCAGAGTAGACAGGAGTTTAATATTTGTCTGATAAACTGGCAGTGAGACCTTCTTCTGGTAGCTCATTTGCTAACTCCAGATCTATGGGGAAAACTGCTAGTTGTTCTGAGTAAAGCTCTTGGCCAAAGTAAGTTCTCAAAAATGTTAACTACAGTACTTAATTCAGGCAGCAATTATCAATGGATGCTTAAACTCTTGGGTGAAAGGTTAGTGGGAAATGAGATCTTGATCCACTCCAAAGCATCACCCCAAAGGTTACTTGCCAACTGCAAAGAAGGAAATCCTTTTATAAGGTAGTGCTCACAACCTTAAACCATCTGGTGAAATTGCATTTTCAATGATGGGACATCCTGACACTCAGTGCCATCTGCTATAAACATATTAGGAAGTACGTGACATACCCTATGGAGTCTTCCTGTTACACTGCACGAACTGACCTCATCAGGTCTCTAGATCCATTCTCTAGCTTATAAGAAATAGGAACAAATCAAACATAATGAACCAGACAAATCCAGAACCTGGGGCATTCTACAACACAACTGGGCTGTTCTGTCAGAAATTCAATGTTAAGAAAACCCAAAAACAGACTGGAGGGGAATATGTTCCAGAATAAAAGATACTGGCTGGGCTCATGCCTGTCAATCTCAGCACTTTACCCCACCTTATATATATAAGGGTGTAGTTGTGTCCTGCATATATACACACACACACACACACACACATATATATCAAGTATCTCTCTCGCTCATATATGTGTATAATTAAGAATTACATAATATCACCTAATGT